CGCGCTTGAAATGCTGCGTCCGAAAACTTCGACGAAGTACGCCTGCCACCTGGGGCCACGGCTGTTCCTTCTCGGTTCGTGTACACAGCCAAGGAAGGAGACCCCAAAGCACGCCTGGTCGTGCAAGGCTGTTTCGAACCAGGCGCTGGAAAATCAAGTCGTTGATTCCCCTGCGCTCAACAGAAATTCTGTCAGATTTTTGCCGTGGCTGGCCGCCATGCACGGATGGGCGCCAGAAGCGTGGGACGTCCGAGAGGCGTTCCTGCAGGCCGAGACAAACGCAGACCCCCAGTACGATGGTTCACCTGTCTTTGTTACGCCTCCGAAGAGCGTCCCAATCAGGCCCGGATTTGTTTGAAAGTTGCGCCGTGGCAAAACGCTATACGGTCTCCGTAGAGCACCGCGTGCGTGGTTTTTCCACATGCGCCGTCTCCTCCTCGAGTGTGGCTTCCAGCAGTCCATATGGGACCCGTGTGTGTTCCTTCACTTCGAAGACGGCCGTCTGACAGGTTTCGTAGGGCTTCACGTCGACGACGCGCTGTTGGCAGGAGAAGGTAAGTTTTGGGATGTGATAGATTCGCTACCCCTCCAGTGGGGCTCCCAGCACAAGGACGACTTCACTTTTTGTGGTCTGCACATATCCGTCAAACTTCCTTGGATATCTTTGGATCAGAAAGAGCATTGTCGCTCCTTGTCGCTGATATCCGTGCCGCCCCGCCGGGCCCGTCAGCCGAACGCTCCTGTGACAGAGCCGGAACGCGCCGCACTCCGAGCAGCTCTTGGATAACAAATCTGGTGTACCGACCAGACCTGCTCCCACGGCGCTTTCGCGTGTCGCTCCACAACGTCCAAAGTGGAATTTGCAACAGTATCCACCCTCCTGGAAGCGAGCAAGAATGCCAGAATATTGAGGGGGGAGGATGTCGTTTTGCATTTTGGGCCCATGGATCCTACAAAGATTTGCGTTTACACGTACGGCGAATCGTCCAAGGGAAAGCCGCCGCAGCGAGGCATGACCACCTTCATCGGAGAAACGATCCCTGATGGTGCTTGTCCCATTGTGCGTGCTTATCTCTACCGTTGGGCTTCCAAGAAGCAAACGAGGTCGATTAGCTCCACGATGGCCAGTGAAAGCCTTGCTGCAGAAAGTGCCCTTGATGTGCAGTACGCGACGCGGCGGAGGATTGAAGAGGCTCTGAGCCTAGACGAGTCACCTGCTGGACTCCTCTTGACCTATTCATGGTCCCTTGTCACGAACACGTACTCCACCACACCACATATCACGGAAAAAGGCCTCACCCCATCCCTGCACCGGATCAGGGAAGCGTGCGTTGGGTGGCAGAGAACAGTGAACAGCAAAGTTTTTCCTAGTGATTTGTCTTGGGTACTTGATGCTACCATGGTCGCAGACCCACTTACCAAGCCAAACAGCAATCCATCGAAAATCTTTGATCCCATCAGATCATGTTCGATCGATTTGCGTTCGGCCGCGAGACCGAATAGCGCTGCTTCGTGCTACCTGTCGCAGCCATGTGCGGCTCAAGGCGGACCGCTGTGCTGTGGCCTCCCAGCCGAGGGAAAGCTGGAGTCCGCGATGGTTGCTACCGCTGCCATCGGTGCTCGGCCCCGGGCGAACACAGCGCCAGGGACTACGAGCAAGGCGTCCGCTCCGGCACCCTTTCCGTGCAGGCCGCCGCCGGTCGAGCATCAGCTTGCTGCCGTGCCTGTGCGCCGGCTCTCTGCGATCGAGCGCCACTTGGTCACTGAGAGCCAGAAGAACTTCCGTGCCGAAGTGCCCGCGCTCAGGCGGACGCAGGGTCACCAAGATCTCCGCCGGCCAGAGCAGATCGAGAGGGCCGTGAGCCTCCTGAGGCAGCTGGTGCACGCACAGCAGAATGACAACAAGCTGACAGACAGGCTGGCCGCGGACGCGCACCTCCGAGAAAAAGGTGCGCCGCAGAAAGAGAAACACCACAACGTTCTGTATCGCCGAAGCGTGGGTCTCTGCGGACACTGGATGTCGGCTCGCCTACTCCGGGACCGAGAGAGGGCCAAGAGAAATCGCGCCCGCGTCCGGCTGGAAGACGCACAGAGGGCCAGGCAGGAGAGAGCTTCGACCCCAGACAGGTCTTCCAGTGCACCCGGCTCGCCTGCCGAGGTCGCGCCTCCAGCTGGCTCCCGGGGGTCGGACGGCGAGGTGAAGACAAACCCTTCGCGGGTCGATGTGTCTCCCTCTGACAGTTATGATACTGACCCCGAGTCCCTCAGCTGCGACGGCAACGACAAGGGGGACACCCCCAGCAAGCCCGAAGATAATCGCGCTGCCCAAGCAGCCTCCGACAGGGAGGCGAAAGATTGGCACGGCGTTCTCTCGAAGACCACAGACTGCCCAGAACTGAGACTTTTGACAGACCGGAAGCTGAAGCGCAAGGCCCCGAACCCGGCCAGGCGCAGCAAACGCTCGGACAACCGGAAGGCCAAGAAAAAAACCAAAGCTGAAGCAAAGAAGACTGCAAAGACTGCCACCTGCTGAACTGAGCCTCTCCTTTTCTAGCTGCCTTTCCCCTTCTGTACAGCAACTAAAAAGAAAGAGTGGTGAGGTTGTCAACCGTCCAACCTTCAACCATTCAGTGGTCTGACTCTCTTGCTTCATCCCTCTTGTCTCTTCTTGTTGTCTCTCCTTGTCCCCCATCCCATCTCTGCGCTATCCGCTGCCTTTTATAGGGCCCTGAGCCAGGGCGCCCGGGAAAAGAGCGATCGACACGATGCGATCCGATCCGATCCTGGATCGACCCCCCCCCTCCCTTGAAGGGGGGGGGGGGTCCGGACCCCCTCCCCCTCTCCCCCCCTTGGCGCTGGAAAGGGGGGGGGGTCGGACCCCCCCCCTCGTGTAGGGAGTACGGAGTTGGGGGTAGGGAGTGGTGAGTAGTAAGTAGTGAGTTAGTGCGTGGTGAGTGGTGAGTATTCATAGTGAGTAGTGGGTAGTGAGTGGCGAGTAGGGAGTAGGGAGTGGGGAGCAGTGGGTAGTGAATAGTGAGTAGTGTGTACTGATAAGTGAATAGTGACTGCCGAGTAGTGAGTAGTTAGTAGCGAGTAGTGAGTACTGAGTTCGGAATAGGGAATAATGAGTAGTGGGTAGTGAGTAGTGGGTGGTGAGTAGTGGGTGGCGAATAGTGATTAGTAAGTAGTGAGTAGTGGGTAATGCGTAGTGCGTAGTGAGTAGTGAGTATTGAGTAGTGAGTAGCGAGTAGTGAGTAGTTAGTAGCGAGTAGTGAGTACTGAGTTCGGAATAGGGAATAATGAGTAGTGGGTAGTGAGTAGTGGGTGGTGAGTAGTGGGTGGCGAATAGTGATTAGTAAGTAGTGAGTAGTGGGTAATGCGTAGTGCGTAGTGAGTAGTGAGTAGTGAGTAGCGAGTAATGAGTAGTGAGTAGTGGGTAGTGACTAGTGGGTAGTGAGTAGTACGTAGTGAGTAGTGATGAATGGAAAGTAGTGGGTAGTGGCAGTGGGTAGTGAGTAGAGAGTAGCGAGTAGTGAGTAGTGAGAAGCGAGTAGGGCGTAGTGAGTAGTGAGTAGTGAGTAGAGAGTAGTCAGTAGTGGGTCGTGATGAGTAAATAACGAGTAGGGAGTAGCGAGTGGTGAGTAGGGAGTAGTGAGCAGTGAGTAATATGAAATGGGTAGCGAATAGTGGATAGTGAGTAGCGATTGGTGAGTAGCGGGTAGTGGGTAGTGAGTAGTGACTAGTGACTAATAAGTTGTGACTAGTGACTAGAGACTATGTAGTGACTAGTGATTAGGGAGCTAGTGAGTAGTGAAGAGTGAGTAGCGGGGAGTGAGTAGTGAGTATTGAGTAGCGATTATGGGAGTAGCGAATAGTGAGTACTGAGTACTCTGTAGTCAGTATTGTGTAGGGAGTAGGGGGTAGGGAGTAGCGAGTAGTGGGTAGTGAGTAATGATTTGTGGGCAACGAGTAGTTCGTAGTGAGTAGTGGATAGTGGGTGATGAGTAGTGATTAGTGAGTAGTGAGTAGGGAGTAGTGCTTAGTGAGTAGTGAATATTGAGTAGTGGGTAGTGAGGAGTAGGGAGTAGTGAGTAGGGAGTATTGAGTAACGAATAGTGGGTGGTGGGTAGTGAGTAGTGGATAGTGAGTAGTGAGTCGTGAATAGGGGATAGTGAGAAGTGAGTAGCGAATAGCGAGTAGTCAGTTGTGGGTAGTGAGTAATGAGTAGTAAATACTCTTTGGGGCTGGGGTTAGTGGTTAGGGTTAGGATTCGGGGTTTGGGTCAGGGTGAAGACTAGGGGTAGGGGTGGCGGGTTCCGGAGTCAGGGGGCGGCGTGGCGAAAGGGGGGAGGGGGGGAGGGGTTCGGACCCCCCCCCCCCTTTTGAAAGGGGGGAGGGGGAGGGGGAGGTCCCCGACGACGGATCGGGGAAAGGGGGGGGAGGGGGGGGGAGGGTTCCCCGACGAGGGATCGGGGAAGGGGGGGGGGTCCTAACCCCCCCCCCTTGGGGAGATCCAGCGGCGCACCCTCAGAGAAAAGGCCTCCTCGGAAGGCGGCGGGGCTTCTCAGAAGGCCTCCAGCCTTCTTCGGAGAAGGCTCAGAAACCTTCTCTGAAGGCCGGGGGACTTCTCAGAGGTGTTCTGTGTCTTCGGGGAAAACTCGGAGAACTTCTCAGAAGGCCGGGGGGCTTCCGAGCCTGCTGAGAAGGCCCGCCGCTGCTCGGCCGCCTGGTGGCTTCTGGGTCATAACTCGGCTCTCCCGCGGCCGTTCGGGACGATCCCGGCACCCCCGGAATGCCCTCGGCGAGGCGCAGCCGCTGGAAAGCACCCCGAGGCCGAAAAGCCGCTGAGAGCCCACGAAAACGCGCGCAAACCTCGAGGCTCGAGCCTGGCAAGACTTCCCCCCCCAGCTCGCCGCCGATTCTCGTCGCCTCCGATCGTCACCGCCCCCGCCGTCGTGGCCTTCGTCGCCGCCGTCGCGGGCGTCATCGCAGCCCCCAGC